GACCAAGTACTACTTCTGGTCTGGTAGAGTTCATTGACGTGTAAATAGAACCTATAGGATAGTGTTTGAAGTATTTCTGTCTTTAATGTTTGAAGCTCTGTTTTGTCAGCTTTGTTGTCATATAAATCTTGAGCAGTGAATTTAACTTTGTTTTCATCCTCCATGACATAGACATTTCCACATCTAATGTCTTTATCCGATGTTAAACCTTGTGGAAAGTTAGGAGGTTTCCAATTTAATACATCCCCAGTTTCTTCAACCGTTCCTTCAATATTTTCTATACCAACAGTTGCGAAGAAATCGTGTGTATGTCCAACGTCACTTTTCTTGTTTAAGGTTTCTTGTAAGTTTGTAATATCAGATATGGTATGTGTATGAGTCTTTTTAGAATATTCTTTGTCAGCTCTTGTCACTTCACTTGACATTTTATTGTCAACATATGTTTTATCCGCTTTGTCATCTAACTTTTCTGGTAGTTCATCTACGTCATAGATGTTATGTGTATGATGTTTTTGTGGGTATGTTCTATCTGTCCATGCGAGAATATAGTCTCTTGTTGCATCTACATACTCTTTGTCAGCTTTGTTGTCAATATCTGCCTTCAAAAGAAGTTCATCTATAGGTTTCTCGTTTAAAGTTCTTTTTGTTGGATTTATACAAACAGTATGGTTCTTACTGTCTTGAAACAGAAACTCGTCTGTCATTGGGTTTATCGTCAGTTTTAAGTTTCCTTCTTTCAATGACTCAGATATCTTAGAATAGTTTGAAAAGTTTGTTGTGTTCTTATTTAGAGCTTGCAAAATGAGTTGTCGGTTGTGTTGTATTTCTCTCATAGACGCTGTTTCTTTCGACATTTTTATTCTAGATAAAATATGCTTCCAATAGAAAAGAAAATTCAAGAGTTGCTACAACTAAACCATTAGATGAACTTTTTACTAATGTCGGTCAAAAGTTTGAGACAGAGACCGTAAAGCATGAAGGCTATCGTTTTGACTACCCATTAAGATGGCTAAGAGACCCATCTGTCACAAAAGCTATTGGCTTTCGTAGAATGAAGTTTGTGTCTGTAGAAGATAAAAGTTTTCCATTTATTGTAAGGTTTCATATAGATTATATATCTGAAGGGAAACGAAAAATGTGGGAAGAAATTGAGCTAATACAAGTTGACCTTTCATCTTCTCTACAGACTGCGTTAAAAAATATAGAAGATAAAATAAATTCATGTTATGCAAAATATGCTGATGAATATGCAAATACCGAGAGCACACTTTATGTGAGAATTGTATATGACAAACAAAATTCACAAGTGTCATTTCAAATCTACGAAGACAATCCAAAGAAAGACGAACAAATATATACAGAATTCACTGCAATGTCATGGTATTATTTGCAAAGAATGTTAAATCAGAAAGTCGAACTTCCTTTAGCAAATATTTACAGTCGATATGCAAGAGATGAACCATATTTATTTAAAGATGTTTTCGACCCAGCTGCTATTATAGTTCATGCTTCATTTTCTGGCGCCCAAAACTCTTTCTTATGCTTGGCAAATGACTTTTACGAAAAACCTACAAAGTTATACGAACCACCAAGTGGAAGTATTTCAGACTTTCAAGTATGGTTTACTACAGATGGAAGAAAAAGAATAATTCCATTATACCATGCGTTTTACTTAGAACTTAGTTTCATATACAACTACTATCGAACGGTAAAAATATAATTTTTTAATACGGTTGAGGTGTTGGATTTGGTTGCCAACTAGACTGTGGTGCAGGTTCAGGCTGTTGTATAACAGGAGCTTGTTCTTCTGGTTCAGGGTCTTTAGGTATAATACCAACAAACTGACCTACTCTTTTACCAATATTTTTGACTCCGTTCCAAATTCCTCTTCCGACGGTTTTTATTCCATTCCATATACCTCTTCCAACATTTCGAAAGAAGTTTCCTATCTTACTGAAGAAACCCATTTTACTATATGTAAAAATCTAATGTCCGCCTAGTCTCTTACGTTTCCTGTTGAGTTCCATAGCATTCTTTAACTGGAGCTCATACATTCTGTTTCTCCTCTGGTAGAAAACATACTCTGGGTCAACTCCTGTGTTCGCGTCATCTGCATAAAGTTGTTTATATCCCACTTCGGGGTTTGTATAAAACTCTTTCCATCTCATATTTGCATACCATGGTGGCAAACCTAACGCAGCGTCATTTGACATGGCAGTTTGCATTTGTACATCTGTTGGCACTTGACCATAGTTTGCCATTGCAGTTTGTATTCTAACTTCATTTGGAATATTCTCTGGGTTTGGTTGTCCAGGTTGCTGTGCATTCGCTAAGTTCTGTGCGTCCATTTAATATTAGATAAAAATATCTCTTACGAGTACATATACTGGACATTTGCAGGCATTGGTTCATCTTCATATTCTCTGTACTTTTCTGCCACGTCAAATAAGTAAATGACACAATGGAAAAAAACCTAAAACAAGTAGTCCTATTTCAAACCACATTTACTTACCAATAAAATTTCTTTGTTATGACACTTTTTCCGGTTTATAGGACCTCTCTCATATTCTATCTTGTCGTATCTAAACTCATAGTCATGTATGTCCTCTAACCATCTCATGACACTTTCCAAACCACTTTTATCGGATGTAAAGTAAAAGCATGGATGGTTATGTAAAACGTCTAAAGTTTCTAAAGAGTCTCTCAAAGTCCAGTCTACTTGGTATTGAAAATCGTATGTGTTATAGAACGGCGGGTCCACTATAAAGAAAACATTTTCCTTGTTTTTATATTTTTCATACAACTCTGTCCAATGACATCTCACAAACTCTATACCCTCAGTATATTTTTCTATGTTCTCTTTGAAAACATTTGTATAGTTAAGATATAAAACGTTTGACATAAGTGTTTCAATGTCATGAACTCTTATAGAACCACTATACAATAGTCTAGAAGATATACTATCCCAGTCAATATACTCTGCTTTTTTCAAAACCTCTCTGACAATATTTTTCTTATCTAATGGTATACGTTCCATCTTACCTATAGGTATCTTTTCTTTTAACTCTTTCAATATTTTGTTTGTGTCTGGTATATGTTTGAGACGGTTCATATAGTTGTCGAAGTCATTGCATATAATCTTTGAGTCTGGGAATATTGTATGGCACAAATGGGATATATAGAAACTTCCACCGAACAAATCTACAAATGTTAGACCATTCGGTAGTTTCTTAAGTTCTCTCAATAGAATATCTTTACATCTACTCTTATTTCCAAAGAAGGGTAACGGTGGTTTTGTAAAATTCATTTTATATATATAATAAAAATGTTTTTTCCTGAAAAGTGACAGAAAAGTGACAAAACATGAAAACATATATATTTTGTGAAAAGCTCCTGGAAGACCCGTATATAAGAACTTCAGATGGAACACATACTTTTTCAGTAAGGACATATGAGGTGAGATGTCACCTGTTTTCTCACCTCATTTCTCACCCGTTGAATTTTCATGAATTTCTTCGTAAAGACTTTATTGTGACTTCTTCGTAAAGACTTTGTTGAGATTTCTTCGTAAAGACTTTGTTGAGATTTCTTCGTAAATGACCCAAAATATATTTTAGGTGAAGAGGTGAGATTTCACCTCTTTTTTCACCTCATTTCTCACCTCTTGAATTTTCATGAATTTCTTCGTAAAGACTTTGTTAAGACTTCTTCATCTAATTTCTCATGAACTTTCTTGTCTATGTTTTGTCAAGATTTCTTCGTAAAGACTTTGTTGAGATTTCTTCGTAAATGACCCTAGTAGTATATTTTTGGTGTAAATTTCATGAAAATTCAACGGGTGAAAAATTAGGTGAAAAAACAGGTGAAATCTCACCTCTTCACCTAAAATATATTTTTGGTGTAAATTTCATGAAAATTCAAGAGGTGAGAAATGAGGTGAAAAAACAGGTGAGATTTCACCTCTTCACCTAAACATTATTTTTGGTGTAAATTTCATGAAAATTCAACGGGTGAAAAAAGAGGTGAAAAAACAGGTGAAATCTCACCTCTTCACCTAAACATTATTTTTGGTTCATTTACACTCGTTACGAAGAAGTCTTGACAAAACATTTACGTTCATGTTTGACAAAACATTTACGAAGAAGTCTTGACAAAACATTTACGAAGAAGTCTTGACAAAACATTTACGAAGAAGAAGTCTTGACAAAACATTTACGAAGAAATCATGACAAAACATTTACGATGAAGTCTTGACAAAACATTTACGAAGAAGTCTTGACAAAACATTTACGAAGAAGTCTTGACAAAACATTTACGAAGAAGTCTTGACAAAACATGAAAACATATATAATTTGTGAAAAGCTCCTGGAAGACCTCCGAATAAAAACTTCATTTATGTGGGCTAGAAGGCACGAAGTGCCTGGAAGGTCACCCAAAGAAAAAAAAACTTCATTATACTCATTCATCCTCAGGGCTAGAAGGCACGAAGTGCCTGGAAGCCCCACTACCTTTTTTTTTTTTTTTTTTTTTTTTTTTTTCTTTGCATATTTCCAAATAGTCATGATGATTACTTTATGTTGATTTTTCAATTATGTCAATCAATCATAATATAACTTCTCATCGGCATAAAATTCATTAGACCTACCTAACAAAATAATCGTTACGAAGCTCTGCAGGCTTGGTAAATTCTCTAAAATTAATTTGTCAGAGAATTTCTAAATTATTTTCGATTTTGATCCTTAAAATCGCTGTTGATGTGTTACATGCCTTACTGGGGAGTGTTTTTGATATTTACAAGTAGACAAACTTTTGACAAAATTTTTACACAAACAATTTTGAAAGGTTTATATTATCGAGAACCTAACGTACAATTGAAAATAACCTTTTGAATTCAGATTTTTCAAAAACAAAAATTTAGAATTATGCTTAAAAGTATCTCACAATCATAAATATTAATGAGATTCAAAAAAATTTTCAGTCGGTTTTTGTATAAGTCCTATATGAATATCCTTCGTGGCTCATGCCCCGAACGTATAGGACCTTATGTGCTTGGCGATTCGATCGGAATGGGTACATCCTGCATCGTCGTCAAGGCTACAAATTCAGAAACTCAAAAAACTTATGCAATAAAAATTGTTTCCAAAAGGTATTTTCATAACAATCAACAAGTAATTCATTTCCAATCAGAAGTACAAAATATGATGTCATTATGTCATCCAAATATTGTTACTCTCTATGACTTATTAGAAGATTCAGTAAATTATTACATGATCCAAGAATATTGCGGTAACGGTGATCTAAGTTCTTACATATCAAAGAATCAACCCCTCCCATTAGCTCAAGCTTTACAGCTCTTTCACCAGATATTGTCTGCCGTGGCCTTTCTTCATTCGAATAATATAGCCCATAGAGATATAAAGGCAGAAAATGTTTTATTAGATGAAATGCTAACCCCTAAATTAGGCGATTTTGGATTTTCTTTGCACGTCCGATCAAACGAAATTAGAAGAACAATATGCGGAACCTTTTACTATATTGCACCAGAAATCCTTCAAGGATCGCCTTACAATCCAATTCTTGCAGATATATGGAGTTGTGGCGTATTATTGCACGTTTTTGTTACAGCGCAGCTTCCTTGGAGTTGTGAAAATCCAAAGCTTGCCAAAGAAGAGATCCTCAAAGGGCAACTTTCTATCCTGCCGGACGTTCCAAAAGATGTACAAGAAGTGATATTATTGATGTGTGATTTTAATCCTCAGAATAGGATGCCAATAGACACAGTTCTTGCTCTCCCATTGCTAAAGAGAGTTCAATCTACAAAGCACGTCCATAAAGGATTTTTCAGAAACAAAGCCGCATTTACGCTAAATAAATACAATGATTTACTGTCGTCTGCACCATTACCTTTGGATGAAAAAGACCACGATGAAATTACAGACATGCTTAAAGAATGCAACCGTAAAATTAAAAAGAAAGCAAATCAGCTTCAATCAAACGCGATACTGACAATCATATCGAAAGGATCTTCTAGAATCAAAGTTAGAAGCCGTGCAGATTCACCTTTCATGGGTCCACTTTTTGTCCCAGGTTGGGAGAAAATGTAGAAATGCTTATATTGTTATTTTGTTTATTTGTTTGTTTGTAAATTGATGTATGTTAATATGCTATCGTAATCATTATTTCCAAATCTAATCTTTATCCTATTCATTTTATTGTCTGCGTAAAATTGTTGAATTACAATATGAGAAGAACTCGTATAGGGGTCTTTAAAAAGAATTGCAGTGTTCTTGCCTCTTAATTAAAGCATGAGTAAAATTGTTCATATGTTTAATAATCTTTCCTAATTATCACAAATATTCAAATTAATTCAATCATTTTACGGCATTATTAATAATCATCAAAGATATCTTGATTTGAAATGATAAATCTAGAGTTAACTACATAACACAGCTATTTTTAATATCAAAATTACAAATATAAATAGACAATTTTCAATTTGTAGAAAAAAATATGCTTTGTAGAGCTAGAAGAAGAACATTTATTATTCACGATGTGTAATTTCGTTAATACTGTTCCAAATGTTCATACCATCCGTTTCAGCTAGATCTTGCAAACTTGATTAGGAATAGCAGTTGCCTCATAGTTTCATATTAGGTCCCAAAACTTTATGTTAATTTCAAATGATTCAGTGAGAGTTTTGGGACTTTATACAAGGAAAACCAATCAATGAAGTGCTGACTCTTGGCCAGTGCTTCATAAACTGATGTCCCAATTAGAATCAAGTATGAATTTTCCTTTTTTGACAAGCAAAACAATATGTTTAAGTAATACCAATAAAACATTAAAAAAAATAAATTAAGCAATAGCTTCTTTGACTTCTGCCAAGATTGCATCCCACATTGAACGGTCTACTGGCTCCAAATCTTCACAAACAAAGAGATTTGGATGCTGACAAACTTGTTCTGGAAGAGATGTTGTCAATTGACCAGTTCCGTTAGGAGCAGATGGGTATTGAAGGGAAATATCAGCTGTATGGAAGTTTGTTTGAGGAGCATAGTTGTTTGTAGGCTTTGGAGCTTGTTTTGGAGTTGGAGCTGGTTCTGGTGCATCATCAGAGAGCCTAAAGCCGAGAACCTTTTCAGCAGCATCTACTGTTGAAAATGCTTCAGCTGCTTCACGAATAACAGCTTTAATTTCTCCATCATCATGTGATCCACCTGAAAGTCCTGTAATAACACGATCATCACACTTCTTTACATCAAGTAAGTCAGGAGCAACCTTCTTATCGAACATTTCCTTTGAAACTGCCGTCACAAATTTCTTAAAGGAATCAAGCTTAAGAATGTTAGCTGAGCAGCAAATAATCCTAAAGGAATCTTCTGTAGATGGGGATGGACCGCTGCGGGATGCTACTGCTTCGTTTTTGTTTTCTTTGATATTTTTGATTGCATCGAGAATCATATCGCATGAGTTCATGTATGCCTTTGCATCAGAAATTTTGTATGCTTTATCATATATTCCTTGTTTGTTTTTAGAAAAGACATCGTTTTTAATTCCTCTTTGATTAACATCAACAATTTGTTGTTGTTTCTTTTTTGCGGTGATGAGTTCTGCGTTCATGACACGAAATTGAATCTCAAGTTTGGTAGGATCGTATGCTTTTGGTTTTCCAAACATTGAAGTGAAATGTCATTTTTCTGATATTTACGAAATAATCGTCACCGCGAAAATCATTCAATTCTGATTTTATATAAAATTTTTGATTTTCCTTTATAAATATCTAGATTTCTTATAATGGTAGTATCTGGCTAAGGATGTCAATTTGGAAGAAAAGTGAGAAAATTCCTAAAATGCTAAAAATGAATTTTCCAAACGTATTTGTTTATCTCATTTTTTTGATTTTGAAAAAAATTTGGAGAGAAGAACTCTTCGTTTTTGAATTTTATCACGATGGTTTTAAAGTATATTAGACACATGTATTGATATTACTATTTTTGTATATTTTGAGAGAAAATCCCTAAAAAGTGAGAAAATCTGAGACGGTTTGAGAAAATATATAAACTATTGAAAATTTGAATTAAACTTCTAATTTGGAAAAAAAGAAATTTGGAAAGAAGAAAATTCAAAAATCGGGATTTAGACTCAGTATCAAATGGAGAACAAAATGTTTCTTCATATGAAGGAAAAAATTTCTTGAGAAGAAATAGAGTTTTTAAAATTTTATTGTATGTAATGAAATAAACAAATATTAAAATTATTTTTTGATAACAAGAAAATTCCCAACAGAAAATATTTGAGACAAAGAAAAAAAGAAAATTGAAAAATATTACTCTCCTTTACATTTCATGAGATTTTCAATTTATTTTCATAAAATTGACAATTTTATACGTTTAGATGAAAATAAGTGATTTTGCTTGAAATAAAAATTATTGTTTGTATACAGCTATCAAATAGATTTTTGCTATTTTGATTAAAATTTGTTAATCAAATTAATAATTTTTTTCTAAATATCTTAAGGGTCCACTGTAAAAATTGAAAGTCTCTCAAAATTGAGAGGCGATTTGCAAATAATCGTTATCGTCTTTTTTCGAAAATCCATTTTCCCTAGTGTTCTGATTAATATTTTGTAAATGTAACAATGAAGTATATGCTTTAATAAGATGATAATATATTCTATCACTTCAAATCGCATAAAAATTGCAAAATCAGCGAGTTTTATAAGAACAAGATTTTTTCGAATTTTTTCGCTTTTGGATGCATGTTTTGAAAAATAGATATTTTCGAATTTTGATTTAATTTTAAGTATAAGTTTTATATTAGGAATTTTTTTGACCTATTTCCAATCATTAATTCCGATGTTTTTCTAGGAATTTAATTGAGAAGAAATTAAGAATTTCGCTTTAATGCCATTACAAACTAATATTATGATGCATGTAGTTTATATTTATTGAGGCTAATGCCGGAATACCGTGCATTTTAAAAAAAATTCAAAGAATTGACAATTGGATAGCACAAATTTAATTCTCTAGACAAAGTATTATTGTTTATATATTCAAAACATTATCTTAGACATATGTTGGTCAAAAATTTTGGTGTTATTTTTTGTGTTTAAGCATAAAGTATGTATTTACTTATGAAAAATAAACATTTTATTGATTATCATAAAGATACACCATAACAAATTGAAAAAATTTTTAAAAAAGTGTATTTTAGTGGGTATTATTCTGGCCAATACCCATTTTTGCACGACTTAATATTAACCATATCAATAGACGACTCAATGTAAAAATTTAGATATTATTTTTTTCATTATTCAAACTTTGATAAATTTTAGTATAATGAATGATTTTGTTTCGTGTATGATACAGAAATGAAAAGCTTAATTAATATTGTTTTGCATTTTTTCAAGAATGTTAGAGTACATCTACATTAAAAAATCGGATTCGAATTGCGATACTGCATCAAATTGATGCACATCTGATAGGGATCTCAAAAGAGTAGAGTTAATTTTTTTGTGTTTTTTTAAGTTTTGGGCCTTAGTAAAACACCATCTTGAGCAATATTTTTGGGACGACGATAGGCCTTATTTGGCCTTACAGTGGACCCTTAAATATCTGGATCACTCACTGATACGATGAATTAAACGATAAAAATAATACAAACTCAACTAAGTTTCCTGTCTTTCAACCAAAAAATATTATGCAATTTAAATTAAATTGTTTATTCAAAGATAAAACAAAGATAAAGTAATTATAATTATCATATACTTTATGAATAACTCTCTAATTGGATAAGATTTTCGTACAAATATTTTTATTAATATCGATAAGAATATGTTTACCTACTATCACCATATGTCGATAAATGAGAGTAGAGTGATTTTTATCATCGAAACTTTTTAAAAGCTGTAAGCAGGAAGTAATAATCTTGTTTTTTCTGAGTTAGTTGTAGAACTATTGATGCCCGAGTTATCATTGTGATGCAGAAGGATATCAATGTACTGACTGAAGGATATGAATTGAATTGAATTTTATTGAATTTCAATTTGATCAAAATTTGTTGAAATGATATGAATGTGTCAACTTCTGTATCATTCTCCTTCACTCCTTCCTTATTCTTTCGAGAACGAAGCTAGCTCAGCTTTCGCTGAGCGAATTGACACTTTTCATGCCCTAAACGTACATACTCTCAAATTTATCGAAAAAATTAATACCACCTAAACTAGTATATTCTTATTTTAAATATGATATTATCCTTATATTCCACACTAAAATTCATTTAAATCAACTTTTAAAAAAGTTCGAATCCTGCGCGTCTCACTTTTTAAATTTTCCAAATGGAAAATTATATTCTCCGAAAGTGAAAACAATTTTCCAAATTGACTTCCTTAATCTGGCGATGCAACATGATGATTTTGATATGAAAAAATAATTTATTTTTATAAAATAACTAAATTTGTAAATAATTTGATGTTCCTGATAAAATTAAGCTAATTGCAAGCAATTTTTATTTTCCAAAAATATTCGAAAATTGATTTTCTCATATGAAATTTCTAAAATTAAACTTCATTTTTGAATTTTTGAAAATTTTTTGGAATTTTTTATGAGCTTCTTTTGGAAATTTATGAGAGAATTTGGGATATATGCCAGGATTGGTATTTAAATATAAGTATTATAAATAAATTCCAATAAATTTTGAGAATTTCCTCAAATACAGGAAGACATCAAAGGGATAAACCCTTTGTCAGAGCATATTGTATCCATTGCCCATCTGAAATCGTTAAATTTTTTTTTGGGAGCTAAAAAAATGGGATGCTTTATTCTGGAGCAAAAAAATTTGCCAAATGAAAAGGAGGAAGATCCATAAGATAATTTCCAAGAAGTTGAAGGATTGTCTGGCCCTCCTGACCCTAAACCAGATCTCTAAAATCCATTATATTCACCTACTCATGTTTCAGTTTATTTCACTAATGACGATCCATTATTTAACAAAAATAAATTTGATGAACTTGATTTATCTCCAGTAAATGAACAATACGCTACAGCTAGCAATTGAAACTTCAAATCATCATTCATTTCCATACGTTTACCTTTAACCAAAGATATCACCATCGTTTGCATCAATGATTTTATCTTTTTTTTGTAGATTATTAATATTTTTAGCACCCTACAAACAAATTCGACAGCAGAATGAGTCTGACTCATTATAGCACATATTACTTCTTTTTTAATCGAATTAGCGCTAATATCCTAAGAACATTTATAATTTCTCGAAATTCGGTTTGATATCTTTGTTCTGAATATCCAAGCTCGCAATAATATCAAATATGATAGTACTTTTAACAAATGTTACCATATATGATTTATTATTTTTATATTTAGAATAAAAGTGTTGTGACTTAAACATATGATATATAATAGTTCAGTAACATCAAGTTATGAACATTTTATTAACAATACACAAATGCTAATCAATATATGAAATAATGAAAAAAAGTATTGTTAAATCATTAGAGTTTTTCAGTAACAATAGTTCCGCCCCACTCTATGACTGTGAATCCATCGCGCTTGAATACAGGAAGTTCTTGTGGTTCGATGTCACATGGGTTGTCGAGTGGGAGAGCTGCGAAGAAGACTCTATTGATGTTGTCTGGTTTCGGTTCGACATTCATTGGACACATTTCATCAAAGTTTTGGAACTGGAAGCAGATTTTGACGTACTTGTATCCACAAAGTTTCGGACTCCAGTATGTGATGAAGTCACATATCTCTGTGTCGTTAAGATTCATAGACTTAAGTCTATCCTCGAAGAAAGAAACACTCTCTTCTCCTTTGATACAGAATCCTTTGTCCAGTTTGAGATTTGGATAGAATAATGTTTCCCAGAAGAGGTATCTCATCTTCTTTCCTCTGTGAATGATCTCACCTGATGGTAGTGCTTTGACATTCCATGTATTCTTTTCATCGAATGAAGGATAAACAAAAGAAAATTCACCATCATTGATTTTGATATTTACCTTTGCGTCTATTTCTTCTTTTGGATACAAATAAATCACTGGCTTTCCACCAAGCAATTTTAATACAAGAGTTAATATGGATCCATAATGAACCCCATAGTCATCAAGTGTGAATTCATCGTCAAGTATTCTTCCACAATAAATTAATCTTTGTTGATCATAACATATATTTACTCTTTCTTGGATCAATTTTTTAAAATCCACTACTTTCTGTTTGAGGTCAATATCAGTGAATTTAATAATTTTTCCTGTTATTATCTTAACTACAATTTGATTACTTGTATCAATGTTTGGTTTTTCTTTTTGTTGAGGCAATGCTCGAATATCTGTTTCTCTGTTGTTATTTTTGAATACTGAAAATACTGAATCAAGAAGACGTATTCCGAGGATCGATGAAATTGTATCGGAAACCTCGATGGCTTGCTCTTTGGTTTTAAATTCATTTGTACGTGCACAAAGAAGCATCGTAAGCATGTTTGCTTTGCCATGATATCGTGATAAGTTTGTAAATAATGTTGTAAACTCACATGGACTTAGTTTTGCATGACTAAGAATTTTGCAAATCTCTTGAGGAGTTCTTGCAGCCAAGAATCCTTCATTATCTATGTATTTAGATATATTAGCGCCAATTGCTTCCCAATCAAGTTCCATGAATTGCTAATTAAAAAAACGAAATTACCTCAGAAAATTTTGGAAAAATAAACTGTTATGACATGATATTTTGACAAATATTCCGAGTCACTTATTCTATCTTTTATCAAACCAAAGATTAATTGTATTAATTCCAAATACTGATATGAAATTTTGGAAATTTAAATACTATTCAATTTTTTGTTACTTTTGAATATCTTTTCAATTTTTAAATCTCAAATTACACCAGTGTTTTTTAGCTTTATCTAATGGCCCAATAAAAAAGATAAATTTGATATATCATTACTGATTCTTTTTGATAATTACCTTTAGTATCTTTACTTTCAGGACTAAGAAACAAAGATTTTCTATCTTTTCTTTGAATTTGAGGCGGAATAGACTTACAAGCGAACAAAATATGGTATGACTTTAGGTTTTGGAATGAAAATGTTCAATTATCTGTATTTAATTTGAATGAATTGGATGAATTAAAGAATGCCGAAAAGTCAGATGAATTTGTTTTCATCTTCTTTGATACACATTGTACATCCAATAAGAAAATATCTCCTGTTAAATATTTTTGAATTCCATTTTATCTATCTTTTTCCCTAAATTTTTACAAACAACTATTATTTATTTTCATAGATACATGGTTTCCTGTATATAAAATTCTTCTTTATAAAGATTTTTTAAAATTTTAGGCCAGAACGCCATTTAATTTTGGAAATTTTGAATTACATTAACAAATACACTATATTTTTTAAAAGACGATTAAAAATTTTATTTCAATAGGATGTCTTTAGCCTCCAAAATCATTGCTAAAGCAGAAGAAGCTTTAAGATTCAAAACTGCATATTTGTTACATGTTGTCAAACCTCCGATAGTTGTTCATGACCAAGGTGTTAATTTTCATTTCAAAGAGTATGATGTTAAGTTATTAACTTCGATTTCAAAACCACCGCAAAAATATGCAATTGATCCACTTCTTCCACCATACGAGCCACATCTTTTTGTGGCAAGGCTCTCAACAATGGACGTAATTATTAATAAATTCATGCATCAACCTGGCCACGTCGTTTTAACTGCTACAAATCCAACATGTGCACAAGGCAATCCATTATTACCCGGAAATTTCGATGATATGGCCGAAGTACTGAATTCTTTTGGTAAGGGCATTACATATTACAATTCAGGCATTGATAGTGGCTGCACTCAACTTCATAAGCATGCACAATATACTCCTCTTGAAGAAACACCAATTTTAACAGCAATTAAGAACGGAATTAAACTTCCTTTTGAATGCCGCTGGGAAAAGATGGATAAGATCACTGGACAAACTATTAATGATGTCTACCATCAATTAGTTAAAAATTTACCAACAAAAGATTATAATTTTATTGTACGCAAAGACATGGCCGCTCTTTTCCCTAGAACAATGGCCCGCCACCCAACGGGCGTTGTTGTCAACTCCCTTGGTATGTGCGGAGTATTTTCTGTTTGGCATGATAGCAATAAATATATTAAAGAGCATCCAATGCAAATCCTTACGGACCTTTCTGTTAGTGTTAAGAATGAATAAAGACTTTATCTATATCATTTATTTTAAACATTTTTTATTATTAATTTGGATTTTTTTTCTCTTTCTAAGCAATATATGGCATATTTAAGAGGTTTACTCAAAGAAAATTCTTCCCGACCATCAAAATTCAAATATTCAGTTAAATTCTCAGATATAAACTTTACATTATTGAATTTAGTTCACAAACTCCAGATAAATCAACTAGATATACAAAATAATGAACTAATGAAAGCTTATGCCTAAGTGGTTATAAACACTCCACACCTGTAACAGAAATATTTTGAAAATAAAATCTAGTAAAATTTGAGTGATGGAATCCCAGATACCTGAAACAGTTTCACAAATCAACGATTCACCAAATTCACCTACTAGTACATCTGCTATTCGTAATCAAGCAAGTATACAACAAGAGAACGTAGAACTTAAAGTTCGTGTTGCTAACCTAGAAAGTCGCCTGACAACAGTTCTTTCAGACGCATCACTCTCAGATAGTAAAATACAAGATCTGATAAATGGTTTTCGAACAATTGACGACTTAACGTCACAAGTATCAAGATTAAAATCTCAACTTGAAGAGGCAAACAATTTAGTAAATAATCAAAAGCAGGATATATCAGAATATCAAACTCAAGCGGATGAATTTCGCAAGAAAATAGCCGATTTAAGTTCAAAACTTGCAATTGAGCAAAATAAAAATTCATCATCGTCTGATGAAAATATACAAGCTATACAAAATATGAAACTAGAGAACTCAAAATTAAAGAGAGAAATATCAGCACTTGAATCTAACAATGCGGAACTTTCAATTGAAAATATGAATCTTAAATCTCAGTTAAAAGATGGTGAAAACGATCGCAAAAGATATGAAACAGAAATAAATCAGCTCAAAAGCTCAAATACTGATTTGCGAAATAAATTAAATGTATTACAAACGACAAACAACCAATTACAAGCTGAAATTGATGAACTTAGATCAAAAGCAAGCAAGGATGATTCAGCAAAAATCGCTCAACAGCTTGAATTACAAAATAAAAATTATATCAGTGCTTTCAAATCAGTTTATAACAGAACCAAGAACTTTAAACAGCAATTCAAATCATTTAATACTTCTGTCGATACTAAATTCTCGTCGGTTTTACAATCACAAAATAATTTAATTTCCCAACGAATTGAGAAGCTTAAGAAGTATACAAATGATATCAAATCATTAAATGCTAATACTATTACCAGACTAGTTACATTAATTGCAAATGCCGCCAAATTAGACCAAGAATCAGTTCCTAAAACAGAATATTTGATGACTCATCCAGAAGCCATTACAGAGTTCGAGAGTCATGTCCAAACAGCATTATCTATTAACGAAAATAAGATTCAGACAGAAATTTCTCAACTTCAAAGACAATTAAAGAAATCATTGAATAGACCAAGTGTAATATCGCCAGAAGTAGCAAATTTAGTCCAACAAATGCAAGAGCGAGTCCAGCAAATGACAGATCGCGTAGAAAGTGAACATCACGCTTTCATTAACGCTATTGAATCAACTATTTAACTGTATCTATATATTTGATTGTAATTTTATAAATATTTAATTATACTATTAATATTGCAAAAAAAATTATTTCTATTTGAACGAATTCAAAAGAAAAATCATTTTAGATAAAAAATTCAGCAAAAATATTACATGAACTAGCCAGATATTATTCGATTATAATTATTTTGTCAAACTATTATTAATAAACTCATTTTTTACGGTAATGTCTGGACAAGTACAAAGAATGAAATAGTTATTGGTGGCGGAGGCTCATCTGCAATTTGGATCGACGGAGAACTCGACCACGCAATGAGTGAGCTTTGTGAAACATTTATATCTCCTCAGCTAACATCTGTTCAATCTTTTAGACTGTATAATCTTGAAGCTTGGAGTTTCTTTGAACATAAGTTTGACTGATTCTATTATTCGGCGTTTTATTTTTCAATTTTCATTTGTTTGTTTTAAATGTTATTATTTTAATAACAAATATGTATATTACTTTATTTTTTGTGGAAATTTTCTACTAGTGCAAAAAAGGTGCAAAAACGATTATTTTACATTCAATCTGCCTAAAAAAATCTCTAGAATAAACTGATAATGTCGAGCAGCAATTGCATAAAAATGTTTTGATTTCCACCTTGAACAGCATATATTTCGGAATTATCAGGGTATTAAGCTCCTAAATTTTTCACCTTGAACAACTATTTGTTATCTGAAGTAAAGTATTGAACATGAATTAATATCTTCTTTTTATTTTCGTTATTGAACACATAAATTTTACAAACATTGCATGATGTAAAGACAGGCATTTTTTTAATTTAAATATGAGATCACTTTAACAAATAAGGAGTTTTAAGCTGTATAAGAGATTATTATAGAGTATGCACGAATAAATCGTTATATCTTTATTAATTCACCTTTGAAGTCAAAAACATTAATCAGGAAATGATCACCATTCGTTGCATTCTTTCCAGTTTGAGTTATTTTGAAAGCAACAAAATAATCATTAGTTTGAAGTGGAAATTCCTTGATTTCATTGAGTGGAATAATAAAAGATTTATTTTCTAATACAACAGTTGTACCATCTTTTTTGATTCCTTCTAGTTTCCAATTTCTCAACAAACTAGAAGTATGGCATGCAGATCGTATAAAATATGAATTTGGTTTTAATTGATATCCTTGTAGATCAGCTCTTAACCATGAATTAGGTACATTATTTGTATAAAAATCATTATATAAGTAAGAAATTATATTTGATAAACTTCCATTTCCAACAGATGAAGCAGTCATTTTCATTTGAATTTCTTTAGAAACTTTTTCTACAAATCTTGTTTCATTCTCTTACTCAAAAGTGATAGATTGATCTGTTACTTTTAGTTTATTTTGAATTAAATGTTTTTCGAAAGATTTGATAGATTGATCTGATACTTTCAGTTTATTTTGAATTAAATGTTTTTCGAAAGATTTGATAGATTGATCTGATACTTTCAGTTTATTTTGAATTAAATGTTTTTCGAAAGATTTGATAGATTGATCTGATACTTTTAGTTTATTTTGAATTAAATGTTTTTCGAAAGATTTGATAGATTGATCTGATACTTTTAGTTTATTTTGAATTAAATGTTTTTCGAAAGATGTGATAGATTTACTGGATATTTCAATATTATCTCTTATATTTGAATGAAAATTCTTCAATGTTTCATTATAAATAGTTAATAGACTGGATTCAAACGAGTTTTCAACTGAAAAATTATAAATTTCATCAAAAAATTTGGATGAACAAAATTGTAAATTGACATATCCAAATAAATCAAATAATGATCTATTCATCTTGCATATTTCTAAAAGGATGAAACTAAGTTTGTCTTCATTTTCAATTTTGAGTTGTTTTGATGTCAATATTTTTTCACAAAATTCAAATCCATTCTTGACAAAATTTCTAATTATTTCTTCTTCATTCAAACAGTAAAAGTGTGAAGAAATGTACTCAATGCATTCATTCATTGATGTGGAATCATTTTCGAAAGCAAAAATTTCGTACTTTTTAAAAACGTTTTCATTCGTAAGAGATTCGTCTGATTTAACATGTTCACAATATATTTGTGTTAGAAGTTGATTTCCAAAATATTTACCAATTTCAAATATGTCATGAAGATGAGACTCGTCTCCGGAAAACTCAAGTTTGCCTGTTTCGATAAAGTTTAAAACGATATCAATTGAATCTTGACATATAATATCGAGATATGTTTCCATCGATGTTATTGATTTATCAATGAAATACTTTTCTTTGATTAAATCTGAAAAACAAATAGCGGAAGACTTCTTTGTTTTGATGGTTCTGTCATTAATTTTCATACGAAATGCACCACATTCAGTAATAACATTTGCACGCTTTAATTCATTGCAAAATTTAGTGATTTGCACCATAAAAAAAAAGCAAATGGCATTTTTTCATGAATTTTATTTCATTGTTAGTTAACAAACATAATGAACCTTTATATGGTATACTTTAATGGAAATGTAATCAAAGGAAGAGAATTTCGGAAATTGAACAAGCGTATTATGTGATTTACTGATCTGATCAAACATAATTTGGGACCTCAGGTGGCTTCGCTTGCCCTTCGGGCAAGCACGCCACCTTCGGCCAAATTAAATAATTTTCTTAAAGAACTCAAAATTACGATAATCTTTGATTGACGCAAGCACTATATAATAAAAAATAACATATTATTTAATTTCCGGAAGAATAAAAAAAGATTTTTAATGAAGTCTAATTCTTCTTGGACTTGGTGGTCTTTCTCTGATTTTTTGCAACCTCTTTTCTTCCTCTTTTTTCTTCTTTTCTTTATCATTCTGTTTTTTGAGATCTTGTTGTTTCTTTTTCTCCATTTCTTCCTTTTGTTGTTCCTTTGCCTTAGCTTTAGTCGATAAGTATGCTTCTCTTGATTTTTGGCGTTTTTCAATAAGTTTTTCTCGTTCTTCTTGACTCATATTCTTAAGTTGCTCGAGTTTTTCTTCTCTACGCTTTTGCTTTTCCATTTCAAGTTTTTCAGCTTGTAGTTCTCTATTAGTTTTCATAGCAGAGCTTCTTGCAGCTACTGAACGCGCTTTGATTTCTTCAGAACGTAATTTCGACTCCTCGAACTTCTTTCCTTCTGCACTCATAATATCTAATGGAGTGAGAGCTACAGGGAAGTACTGAGGAGCTGGTATTTCAATTGAAGTATCAAATGAATCAAATTTTTCAAATAAATTATTTAGTGCTTTTTCTCTAGTTTCGTCAAATGTTTCAAGGTCTGATTTAAGTTTCAATGCACAAACAGGAGAATCGAATTCTAAATATTGTTCTTCAGCTTTTTCTTCTTCTTCATCGAATTTACTGAGATCAGCGAAAACAGGGAATGCTTCTGGAATTAAATATGCATTAAACATTGAACGCCAACTGTTTTCAAATATAGTATCAATATCTCCCATTTTTTACAATTTTGTCACTTTTCGTGATGTAGAAAAAATGATTGTTCAGACATGTGATATAAAATAAATAATCAGATCAAAAAAATTAAAAATAAAATAGATAGTCATAGAACCAATTACTTGGATTTTCATAAAATTTTTACTTTTTCTCTAAATTTGCCAAATGGGAAATGCTGATTCTGCTGCTGAACTAGATCCTGACATAAAATATATTGACCTTTCAAACAAAAGGCTTACAATTGTAAATTGTCATTCACCAGAAACATCACATATCTCTCATTTATACTTAAATGGAAATCAAATCAAGGAATTACCAGAGAAACTCCTACATTTAAAATCTCTTATTCTACGAAAAGAATGAGCTTAAATCAATTCCAGACAAGATTTTAAAACCGATTTTGACTTATTCAGGATTATTAATGTTAGATCTCTCTTATAATTCAATTTCAAGGTTCCCTCAATCAATAATTGACAAAAATCATATAACTACACTATATTTATTCGATAATGACATATCAGAACTCCCAAAATTAAAAGATGATTTGACGCATATCGATGCTGGGCATAATCAAATACGGAAAATGCCAAAACTAACAGATAATTTAAAATACATTGAACTAGATTTTAACTCAATTGAAGTATTAAACGCTAATGGATTCAATTTAAAGAGATTATCACTACAACATAACATACTAAAGGAGATTACCCCATCCACATCATTTCAGTCTCTCCAGCAACTTGATTTACGTGACAATAAACTGACTTTTCTCCCATCAAATTTTGCAGAAATTTGTCCTAAATTAAAAAGTATAAATCTATCACATAATCAAATTTCAGAATATCCGAAATTACCATTTACAGTAACCGAAATCGATCTTTCATTTAACCTTATTTGTGAACTTCCCTCAAATTTCAATGCTTTCACTTGTTTGTGTAGAATTTACTTACAGAACAATCAAATCAAAAAAGTGAAGAATATTCCATCATGTCTACAACTATTTAATATTATTAACAACAACGTGAGCTCATTTGCGTTAAATCACGTTCCTGATTTGGCCCATCTTTATTTGATGGGAAACAACCTTGAAAAGTTCCCACAGATCAAAGGAAATATGATAAATGACTACTACTTCAGATATAATAACATACAAAAGATAGAAATGAGATATATTTTAGATTCAACAAGAATTATTGATTTGTCTTTCAATAATTTGGATGAAATACCATCCGCTGTGTTTAGATTACCATATTTGTTCGATCTACAGTTGGCAGGGAATCAATTAAAGACAATAAATCAAGAAATTATAAATTCTCCTATTGGAAGACTGAATTTATCATCAAATCCAATAGAATCATTACCAAAATTGCCATATAACTTAGAAGAACTGTTTATTTCTGATTGTAATTTGAAAAATCTAGATATTTTATCTGAAAATAAGAATTTAGTTGTTTTAGTTGCTTCTTGCAACAAATTATCACAGATACCATTTATTTCTAGCCTACAAGAGGTTGATTTATCATATAATCGCTTCCTAGAGTTCCCAAAATTACCTAATACAATTATTTCATTGGATTTATCGTTTAATGAGATCCAATTCTTTCCAGACAAGTTTAATTGTCCTAATTTAGTAACATTGGATGTTTCTTTCAATCTAATTCAGTATATTCCGAATTTCATTCAATATCCTAATCTAAAACAGCTTAATTTAGCTTCAACTCAATTCCAAAATGAGTTAAATGTCTCAGAAGAACTAACTCACCTTGATTTAACCAATACTCAAATAAATCGTTTTTCATCAACCGGAAAATTTTATTTTACATCAGCGAAATCAGAAGGATACCATGAGAGATACATTACTGATTCTATATACTATGCATCTACCATAGCTTTTCCAACTTTTTTCGGTGATATCATTATATCAAGAATATTTAAAGACAACAAGCATCCAAAGTTATTAGGTATTGTTGACAATCGCAAGAATTATCCAAATACAAACTATTTCTCCAATTATTTGATAGATAATGTTGAAAAATACGGGATTTCGGATAAAAATTTGAAAAAAAGTATCGAAGAAGCTTTGGATCACTTAGAAATGAAGAATGTACACGAGTATGTTTCAGCCGCATTCTTTTCCACTAAAGGAAAGCAATTAATTGTTTCTTCGGTCGGAGGAATGGCGGTTTTTGTAAAGTTCTCAAATAAAATCATTCAAATTTGTGGCAATTTACCATTTACTTTATTTTGTTCCCGGCACAACACATACGGTAGCATTGGTTCTGACAAAGATGCAGCGATGTATTATGTCCACAACATCAAAGAGAAAGCGGAAACATATAAAATGGATGTTTCCGAAGACATGAAATTCGTCATCATTGTTTCAATGAGTATCGTCGATACTTTGATGTCGAAAACAATAGAAAAAATTATTTTAGATGCAGCAGACGGACCTGAAATTGCTGCGAGGTTGAAGTCTGCTTGTAAGTCTTCAATGTGCAGCGATAACATTTCGGTATTGGTCGCTTATATCCCATCTTTACTGAAATAAATAAATACTTGTTTTGTTTTTGAAATAATAATATTTTTTTAAGGGTCGAGTCTATCCGAAGCAATATATACTATCACTGTCTTGTTAAAATGAGAGAAATCGCTTGTGACATTTTAAAAAACGATAAAAACAGTTTGGTCAAATATGATCATTAAATTTTTTAATGCCAAAAATTGACATTGTCCCAAAGGAGTACAGTGAATTGAGAAACATTTATGCATACTATATCAATTCATTTAATGCATTATATCAGTTAAAGACGAGAAATGACGAAGAAATAAACTCAATTTACGAAATGATCAAAACAAACTTGATTGATTCAAAGAAATATCTTCCCGAAAATATTGTAAAAGATATTTTTAATATCATTCCATACAATAACCGCTATACAAAGTCATACTTGAAACTTGCAAAACTCATCTTTGATGAATATAATGTAAAAACAGTCATAGATACTCCAAATGTTTTTTCCAGTCTATTTTATAAAGAATATGGAATTAATTTAAATAAGTCCAATGAAATCGAAAATACGGAACTCGAAAATCTAGAAATTTTCCCAGAAAATTCAATTTACAATGCAATTATGGATAATGACCTTAAAAGATTCATTTCATTCACTGAAAGAGATGGATTCAACGAAGATCAAAGACTTAACTGCAAATTTTATCCACATTCTGTTGATGGATATTCATTACTTGAATTATGTTGCTACTATGGAGCAGTTGATTGTTTCAAATTTTTAAGAACAAAATTTGACTCAGAAATAACACTTTTATGTCTTAAGGATACCCTTACGTGTCAGATTTTTTGCGCATACGAAGAAGTCATGCTAGACATGAGCTATAAACCTGAAATTTTAGCAACATATTTAAAACTTTTTAAACTACAATACACTTTAATATTCAAGAACAAAAATATTCTTTTTAGAAATTACATAATTATTTTATGTGAAATCTATATAAAAAACATATTTTGCGAGCGTAACTTTTTTCTTTATAAGCACCTTATATGACTTATAAACTGTGAAGGCACATAATTGTTAATTCATAGAGTTGATATGTTTCCAAAATTGAGAGGAAATTTGAAAATTGAATACCCTTTCAATTCAATTTTCAAAAGATATCAGCTCCTTCAATAATTGAAGGACGATTTTGATCATTTGCTCTTAAAACAAGTATGCCATGGAGAAAAAAGTTACGCTCGCAAATCTGAAATATAACTATCATATAAAAAAATTAAATTTCTAATTTTTTACTCTATAGATATTATTGGCCACTTGTGTAATGCATAAAAGTTTATGTCATATGCATACATTTGGAAGTATGGGAGACGAGGGAAATTACTTCTATGAGGCACTAGGATTTTTAAAAATTTCTCTATCGGACTCACCATTCAATTTCTCGAAAATTAAAAAAATCAATAATAGCTAAAATGTATTATGCATAACAAATTTTAATGTTACACGGTATTTTTTGAACTTCATGACATGAATTTTCTTTATATTATTTTTTTTTTTGGATTTTCTATGATTTATGCGATAGGCTGGAACAACATTGTAAGTGCAATGATATCATTTATAGAGAAATCTAAAACTTCAGCATTCAGAACTCGCAACCACAAAAATATTCATTTGCTAAGTAAGTAAAGTTGATTAAGTTCGACACTTAGCTTTTATACGTAAAACCAAGTGTGTATTGTTATTTCTTGTTAAATTATTGAGAAAAAATAAATTGTAAGAGAAACGATACTGATTATTGAAATAATATTGAGGTAGCTGCAGATTTCTTCATTAACATGCCGGAAATTTGTTAATCTTGGTTTTCTATCATAAAATCTGTCGAAGAATCTAAAAACGGAGATATGAAATAGAGATCATGTAAATCTAGAGTATCCTGTCAGAAAAATAGACTAAGCATGTAACCTTTTTTGGTCATAAACACTTTTTACCACTTAGTCATACAGATGATCATTAAATTTAAACGAGCACTTTTTGTCAGAATTTATTCTTTTACAAAGACAGAAGATTTTAGTATTATTTAATATTAGTGCTGTAGCAAAATTCAAAAAACGGTGAAAATTCAGTGAATTTGTGAATTCACATTTTTTTCGACATTTTTCTTGATATATCCATGCACATTAAGAACACAGCTTTGATACGCTTAAAAAAGCATATTTCATATGAAATTGTTAAAGAAATAAACAATTTATATAAAAATTGCACTTATGGGCAGTTTAGATATATAATTTATATATAACATATATACAAATCCATAGACAAAGTGCAATAACTACAATGTTGTAGAAAATTACAGCAGAAATACTGACTTTTTGAAGGATAATAAGAATTCTTCTAAATGTTGTATTTTTATAATTTGATTGATTTTTTTACTATTTCATTAATCTTTTATGAATAATAATTATTTTTAATATATGTGCTATTAAAATTTCAAATTTTGACTAATATATCTAAGTTATCTGAACGAAACATTTAGAAAATATCATACTTACATTGAAATAGCAAGTAGAGCATATTAATAGCAAGTTTCTTGGCTTTATATCTATCATCTATTGTTGTTTGATCAAACAAAATTCACTCTATTATATGGTGTCAATTAATTAAAACAATTTTTAATAGTTATTTATTTAGTGCGAATAAGTGCAAACTCATAAATGAATAACTTAATAGTAGAAATGAATTATCTGATATAAATCTCATATTTTGTCCATCAGAAATACTTTAATTGCATACGCATAACTATTAGTAATACGTCTGGAGTGTCAATTAATAACAATCCCACAACAAGTAAAATTCAGATTTTTATTAAACTTATTTTTTCCTAAAAGTTTTCTCAAATTACTATATATACATATGTGGATAAAATAATAGTAATATTGTAAAAAATTAGATAATTTTTTTATTTGAGAACCTCTCAAAAGTTCATTCAATTTATCAATTGTTTCAGTTTGATGTATATTCATTTCTGGAGCCTAAAACTTTAGCAATCATGACAATATCATATTCTCTTTCTAACTACGCAATGTAAGGGTATCCTTAAACTATCATTTTTAGGAGGAAATCCAGAGATCATGAGCGAGTGTTTGAAATTTCAAAAACCAAACATAGAGTGTATGGACTATGCAATTATTTCTCACAATATTGATTTTGTTACATTCTTGATGAATGAATACAATTTAGCGATCGATTTAAAATATTGCACAGATCATAATAATCTTGAATCATTATTAGTTTACTTCGATCGAACTAATGATATTAACGTATGTTTTATTTATTCAGTTTTGCTTAATATTCCTTCACTTTACGAATACTATCTTTCTCTTGGAGCAAATATTAATGAAAAAATTGATTTCGATAAGACAGTTCTTCATATTGCTGCAGAAAAAAATTGGAGCGAAACAGTTGAACATCTCCTTTCACTTGGAGCAAATATCAATGAAAAAGGCAATTACGGAAGAATAGCTCTTCATCTTGCAGCATTTAGAAATGGTAAAGAAACAATCCTACTTCTTATTTCACATGGTGCAAATATCAATGAAAAAGATAATTTTGGAGAAACCGCTCTTCATATTGCAGTAAATAATAATAGTAAAGATACAGCTGAACTTCTTATTTCACAAGGCGCAAATGTCAATGAAAAAGATTATGACCAAAAAACAGCTCTTCATAAAGCAGCAATATATAATAATAAAGAAATGGCCAAACTTCTTCTTTTGAATGATGCAAATATCAATGAAAAAGATAAACAGGGAGAAACTGCCCTTTACTGCGCAGTATTAAAAAATAATAAAGGAATAGTCGAACTTCTTCTTTCACATGGAGCAAATGTTAATGAAAAAAATAATGATGGAAACGCAGCTCTTCATATTGCACCATCTTATAATAGCGAAATTGTTGAAATTCTTCTTTCATATGGTGCAAATGTTAATGAAAAAAATAACGATGGAAATACAACCCTTCATATTGCAACACGCCTTAGTAATAGAGAAATAATCAAGGTCCTTATTACACATGGAGCAAATGTTAATGGAAAAAATAAAGATGGAGAAACAGTTCTTCATTTTGCATCATCTCGTAATAATAAAGAAACCGTTGAACTTCTTCTTTCATATGATGCAAACATCAATGAAAAAGATAAAAATGAAAATACAGCTCTTCATATTGCAACACGCCTTCGTAATAACGAAATAATCAATGTCCTTCTTTCACACGGTTCAAATGTCAATGATAAAAATAAAGAGGGGGAAACATCACTTCACACTGCAGCATTCAATAATAGTAAAGAAACGGCCCAATATCTTCTTTCGCATGCGGCAAATATCAATGAAAAAGACAAAGGTGGCAATACGTCTCTTCATAAGGCAGCATTAAATAATAGTAAAGAAACAGTCGAGCTTCTTGTTTCATATGGTGCAAATATCCATGAAACAAATAAACGCGGAGAAACAGCTCTTCACTTTGCAGTATTAAAAAATAATAAAGAAATAGTTGAAATTCTTCTTTCATATGGTATCAACATCAATGAAAAAAATAATGATGGAAACACAGCTCTTCATATTGCATCATCTTATAATAGCGAAATAGTTAAACTTCTTCTTTCACATGGTGCAAATGTTAATGAAAAAAATAATGATGGAAATACAGCTCTTCATATTGCATCATCTCGTAATAATAAAGAAACTGTTAAACTTCTTCTTTCATATGGTGTTGACATCAATGAAAAAAATAATGGTGGAAACACAGCTCTTCTTATTGCAACATGCCTTAGTAATTGCGAAGTATTCAGGACTCTTCTTTCACATGGTGCAAATTCGAATGTAAAAAATAATGCAGGAGAATCAGCTTTAGATTATTTTGAATTCATGAAAATCTAAACCTATTAATTGTGATAATATGCAAACTTTTCCATTACACAGTTTCCACCTAAATGTTTCATTGTATGATTTAATTTTTCTTCTTTGCCTGTTTTTAACTGATAAAGCGCAATGTATGAACCGATGTAGTACTTATAGGTACTTCGAAATTCACTGTATTTGTTTTGATTTATGACTTGATCAGTCATTAAAAAATTTCAAAGCCATATATCTTTTCAATTCACTAGAATAAATAAATGCAATGTTATACATTCTGAAAATAATGACTATTATGATTTCGGATAAATTGATATTGAGTGCTAATATGAATAAAACAAACATATATTTATTATAAACAAAATATTCTTAATTTCTCATTATTTGTCTGAATTCCTCAGTCGGATCAATCAAATTCAAAGGCTGATACGAGCAATCTCCGTAATTTCTCATTTTGTCTAAGAAAGACAAGTCAACAGGGACTGATATCTCATCAACTGGAACTTTCTCCTGTTTTGGAGTGAGTTTAGACATCTCTGCTGTTGACTTAGAAATTTCTGGAATCTGATCTTCTTCTTTTTCCTCTTCCTGCTCCATTTCCTGCTCTTCCTCGTTATTTCTAGCATATACTTGAATGAGAGGAGGTCCAACGTCAGGTTTTGAGAACAATCCGAACAAGAATGAGTCATTTTCTTCGGGTTCTTCCTTTTTTTGTGCCTTTTCCTTCTGTAGGCGTTTCTTGTTCGGTTTATCCATCTCCTTTTCCTTCTTTTTCTTCTTTTTCAGGGCTTGTTTTTCCTTTTCTTTCTCAATTTTTTCTAATTTGGTCGCTTCCTTCATCGCTCTCTGGATCCTTCTGGCTTCCCTGAGGCTGGTGTCCTGTTGCGGGGGTGGAGAAGAGGTAGGATCTGTGGCGGCGTCAAGGTCAAAGTGCCAAGACATGTAGTCTATTGGCTCAATTAAAGTTCCGGGTGGAAAGTCAATGGGAAGTGTCAATTCTGTCATGGAAGGAATGGAGAACTTGCCTCGCCTAGTGCGGCTATCTATACCGTTTGCATCAGAAATTCCTGAGAAAATTCCGACATAAAAATTATTTTTCGATTGGAACAATTTGACTATACAATTCGGGTTAAGACTGCGATGGAAATTGATTCCGATCTGCGGTCGGTCATGAATATCAATAATAAACTTGGATGAAAATATTGAAAACTGATTCAACTCGATTCCGCGGTCGTAATTGAATTCATCCGAAAGGCCAACCCATCCGCTGAGGATACAAACAAGCTGTTCCGGTTGTAACTCTGATTTACAGAAAACTCCGTTATTATCAACGATTAAATCAGCTTGTTGCGAGATATTCGGGATCTCTGGTAGATGTTTGAGCTTGTTGAAGTCGTTTTGTGCGTTCTCTGTCACTTGAATCGGTTCTGTCGTCAAATTATTGTAAAAAAATCTTTTTCCTGGGTCTTTGTACAAGTCCAACTTGGCCAGGTTGTCGATTAAAGCAATAATCTGGTCACTGTTTACGTAAAAAAGTTGGTTTGCTATGTAAAATAAGCATTTGTAGAAAGATGTAGCGACATCACTTCGTCTTTTGCGTACTGTTTGGAAGGATATCGATGGATGAGTAATGTAGAAGAAGGATCTGAGCTCGTTGTATATCACACTGAGAAAATGAAAAAGAGTTAAGTCTTTTTGAACTAATTTTGTAAGTAGAACCTTATAAAATGGTGTTGATCGTATGGCTGGATGTAAATTTTCGATTATTGTCTTCGTGAGATTAGTTTTTGGGTTTTGAAATGGTAAAGTATTTGGTAAAAAAACATCTGGAAGCTGCTGAAAGGTCCCACCACATCGCTTGCATACATAAGTGTCAGGATTAACAGGACCAATGTCTAATCCTTCGCATTGCCGATGAACGAAGTATTTACATTTTGTACAACGAATTAAAGGTAAAGTATAATCTAAATTGTCATCACAAGAACATCTTATATGCTTGTGGGCACAAATGGGACACGTATAATGATCTGTTAACTTAAATGGAAGTTCATTCACGCATTTCGCATGCTGCCAGCATTCACAGCGCTCACATTGAATCATAAAGCCTTGTTCAAGATAGCAATCACAGAAACATCGGAGATTCCAACGATCTCCAGATTCTCCTGTAATTTCGGTGGCTTTCGGAATAGTAGCTTGAAAAACAGTGGTAGGAGCAGCAATAACCTTTGGTTTTCTTACTGTTGCTTGTGGAATTATTACTTTTACTTGAGCTTTTGGTACAGGTGGTTTATTATTTCCGACTAGAAAGTCAGAAAAAGAAAATGTGCGTGGTTTTTCCACTGTACTAGTATCAGCAAGTAAATCTTTAAGCGAAGGGCCAACAAATGTAATAGTTGGCTTTTTTTCTTCGCTCATCTAAATTTTTGAGATTTTTTTTTGGATTTTATAATCTAAATAATGCCTTTTTAAAAGATATCTAACTACTGTTGTAAACAGAAATTCATCAAAAGTGACACCTCAGAAAAGCTAAAATATTGAATTTTTGGAACTTTTGATAGAGCACGTTTTTAAATATTAATTAAAGTAAATGTATATTTTGTAAAGATTCTTTTTAATAAAAAAATAAAATTTTGAAGAAGAACACAAAATCTTCTGAAAAATAATATCACATAAACTCATATTATTTTCTAATATATAACTATTTTATATAAAAATCAAATTCAATGATCTTAAAAGCGAAGGATAAACCTCAAAATTTACGAATATAATGAGTGGGAATATAATGCTTATCTATCATAAAACCATATGAAATATCAATTTTTGCTTTACGCCTAATTTTTGACGACAATTAGCAAAAAATGTTAAATGTTAACACTCAGTCCATTTGAATATGAAAAATAAAATTGACTTTGATTAAATGTTTTTATTTATCATGCAATTCTTCTTGCGACCAAAGATTTGAATAAAAGTTCAAAAAATAAGATAGCTTAAAAAATAATATACGGTAGTGTTTACTAATAGATGAATAGTATATAAATTCTATTAAAATGGATTTGATCCAAAAAAATATAAAACCAAAAATAATTGTTATAATTTAAATGAAGAAGTAATTTAAAACGATTTTATTTATGATCAAATTTATATATTTTTTTGGATCAAATCCATTTTAATAGAATTTATATACTATTCATCTATTAGTAAACACTACCGTATATTATTTTTTAAGCTATCTTATTTTTGAACTTTTATTCAAATCTTTGGTCGCAAGAAGAATTGCATGATAAATAAAAACATTTAATCAAGTCAATTTTATTTTTCATATTCAAATGGACTGAGTGTTAACATTTAACTTTTTTGCTAATTGTCGTCAAAAATTAGGCGTAAAGCAAAAATTGATATTTCATATGGTTTTATGATAGATAAGCATTATATTCCCACTCATTATATTCGTAAATTTTGAGGTTATCCTTCGCTTTTAAGATCATTGAATTTGATTTTTATATAAAATAGTTATATATTAGAAAATAATATGAGTTTATGTGATATTATTTCAGAAGATTTCATTCTATATGCCTATGAAAAGTACTCTCAAAACTAACTTTTTCCTAATTATAATTAAATCTAGAATATTGTATTATGCTTAGTATTATTTCATTTTTCTCATTCAATTTAGAATTTACAAATGTCAAAAAATTGAGAGCTGTCACTTTTGATGAATTTCTGTTTATTACACTACAAAGTATTTAAGATGGTTGAATGCTCAAAATTTTCAGATTTTCAAAATCTTTATTGGAATTTTCTTACTTTAAAAACGAAAAATATAAGGATTTGAGATGAGTATATCTTTTCTATTAGCCCAAATAATGATTTAAAATAATTTAGAACTAAAAATATCACAGAGCTGAAATTTGATTGTTAGAAATAGTAATGTGTGTGTGAATACATTTCCAAAACTAGTTTTTCATAGCTCCTGGATACTTTTCATTATCTTTTCCGATAATTTTAGACATTACCCTCTATTTCCAGGAATTACCGTCACTTTTTTCCACCTTCTAAAAAAGCTTCTATATCTCGACATATATAGACATTTTCAAAGCTTTTTAAAAGAGGATATGATAGAAAAGATGTTGAATTTTATGATTTTGTACTTTGTATGGAAATATGAGATATGAGATTTAATATGATTTGATTGCAAGTTGAAATTTTTTATTTTTATAATATAGCATTTTTATGATATAAAGAGTGTTTTTATGATAAATTTTTTGCTCAAAAACAAAAATTTTGGTAAAACGGTAATTCCTGGCTGACGTTAAAATATGCTTTGTTCTCCACTAAAAATAGTATTTAATGATATAAAAATCAATTATTTTGAGTATTCATAGACTTTTTTGTTGAAACTTCGAATGCACGAAAACTACTATTAGAATAGATTAGATTGAAAATAAACAGCGGAAACAAATTCAGCACATTTTATATGATTTGGTGCTGTGACAAAAGTATATCATTCACACTCAAAGGAAAATCTGATTATCCCAATAAAATAGAAATAAATCAATAAAAAGTATAATAGATGCATTCTATTTGGATGATGATACTATATCATTTATCAAATTTTGAAAATATTCATTTTTCACGAATTCGAACAGAAACAAGACCTCGAACTCGAGTGCGGGACAAATTTGCCAAGTGTCACTTTTCAATAATCTTAAATTACGCCTTTCTAATTTTTAAAAAATAACCTTAAGGATACCCTTACGTGTCAGATTTTTTGCGCATACGAAGAAGTCATGCTAGACATGAGCTATAAACCTGAAATTTTAGCAACATATTTAAAACTTTTTAAACTACAATACACTTTAATATTCAAGAACAAAAATATTCTTTTTAGAAATTACATAATTATTTTATGTGAAATCTATATAAAAACATATTTTGCGAGCGTAACTTTTTTCTTTATAAGCACCTTATATGACTGATAAACTGTGAAGGCACATAATTGTTAATTCATAGAGTTGATATGTTTCCAAAATTGAGAGGAAATTTGAAAATTGAATACCCTTTCAATTCAATTTTCAAAAGATATCAGCTCCTTCAATAATTGAAGGACGATTTTGATCATTTGCTCTTAAAACAAGTATGCCATGGAGAAAAAAGTTACGCTCGCAAATCTGAAATATAACTATCATATAAAAAAATTAAATTTCTAATTTTTTACTCTATAGATATTATTGGCCACTTGTGTAATGCATAAAAGTTTATGTCATATGCATACATTTGGAAGTATGGGAGACGAGGGAAATTACTTCTATGAGGGACTAGGATTTTTAAAAATTTCTCTATCGGACTCACCATTCAATTTCTCGAAAATTAAAAAAAATCAATAATAGCTAAAATGTATTATGCATAACAAATTTTAATGTTACACGGTATTTTTTGAACTTCATGACATGAATTTTCTTTATTATTTTTTTTTTTGGATTTTCTATGATTTATGCGATAGGCTGGAACAACATTGTAAGTGCAATGATATCATTTATAGAGAAATCTAAAACTTCAGCATTCAGAACTCGCAACCACAAAAATATTCATTTGCTAAGTAAGTAAAGTTGATTAAGTTCGACACTTAGCTTTTATACGTAAAACCAAGTGTGTATTGCTATTTCTTGTTAAATTATTGAAAAAAAATAAATTGTAAGAGAAACGATACTGATTATTGAAATAATATTGAGGGTAGCTGCAGATTTCTTCATTAACATGCCGGAAATTTGTTAATCTTGGTTTTCTATCATAAAATCTGTCGAAGAATCTAAAAACGGAGATATGAAATAGAGATCATGTAAATCTAGAGTATCCTGTCAGAAAAATAGACTAAGCATGTAACCCTTTTTTGGTCATAAACACTTTTTACCACTTAGTCATACAGATGATCATTAAATTTAAACGAGCACTTTTTGTCAGAATTTATTCTTTTACAAAGACAGAAGATTTTAGTATTATTTAATATTAGTGCTGTAGCAAAATTCAAAAAACGTGAAAATTCAGTGAATTTGTGAATTCACATTTTTTTTCGACATTTTTCTTGATATATCCATGCACATTAAGAACACAGCTTTGATACGCTTAAAAAAGCATATTTTATATGAAATTGTTAAAGAAATAAACAATTTATATAAAAATTGCACTTATGGGCAGTTTAGATATATAATTTATATATAACATATATACAAATCCATAGACAAAGTGCAATAACTACAATGTGTAGAAAATTACACAGAAATACTGACTTTTTGAAGGATAATAAGAATTCTTCTAAATGTTGTATTTTTATAATTTGATTGATTTTTTTTACTATTTCATTAATCTTTTATGAATAATAATTATTTTAATAATGTGCTATTAAAATTTCAAATTTTGACTAATATATCTAAGTTATCTGAACGAAACATTTAGAAAATATCATACTTACATTGAAATAGCAAGTAGAGCATATTAATAGCAAGTTTCTTGGCTTTATATCTATCATCTATTGTTGTTTGATCAAACAAAATTCACTCTATTATATGGTGTCAATTAATTAAAACAATTTTTAATAGTTATTTATTTAGTGCGAATAAGTGCAAACTCATAAATGAATAACTTAATAGTAGAAATGAATTATCTGATATAAATCTCACATTTTGTCCATCAGAAATACTTTAATTGCATACGCATAACTATTAGTAATACGTCTGGAGTGTCAATTAATAACAATCCACAACAAGTAAAATTCAGATTTTATTAAACTTATTTTTTCCTAAAAGTTTTCTCAAATTACTATATATACATATGTGGATAAAATAATAGTAATATTGTAAAAAATTAGATAATTTTTTTTATTTGAGAACCTCTCAAAAGTTCATTCAATTTATCAATTGTTTCAGTTTGATGTATATTCATTTCTGGAGCCTAAAACTTTAGCAATCATGACAATATCATATTCTCTTTCTAACTACGCAATGTAAGGGTATCCTTAAATTATATTTGAAGAAATTATGTCTATGATATATGTTTTATGCTAGAATCTTGGAGTTTTCATGCACTACACAAGAGCTCCAAGGTTCCAAGAGTGAATGCTCAATAGCAATTATAGAGATGTACCTTTTCAAAATGACTTTTACTGATTAAATTTAATCAATAGAAGACATTTTGAAAAGGTACCTCTACAATTAGATATACAAGAGATTCAAAGCTTCATTTCAGATAGATTTGAAACTTTGAAACTCTTGGTAGATTTTGAGTGAATGCTGACAATCATCTTTGAGAAGGTTTTCTTAAAGAAAACCTTCTCAAAGAGTTTCTCAGGAGCCCTGAGGCTCCCTTTCGTAATGATTGGGAGCCTTGGGGCTCCTGAGACGAAGAATGGCTTCGCCGAATCTTTGATCAGCAGAGGCCAAATGAAAAGGCCTCTGCTGATGGATTCTCAGGAGCCCTGAGGCTCCCTTTCGTAATGATTGGGAGCCTTGGGGCTCCTGCAGCAGAGTATCGCTCCGCTCCATTAATTTTTTTTAAAAAAAAGTGCCGTGTGGCAAATTTGTCCTGTTCCCCTCGAACTCGTCAAAATTTTAAAAAATGAATATTTATCAAAATAAATGCAGGATTTGTTGATTATATCATTAATACTCCATTCTTTTAGTAAATGCATGTGCATTTGCCTTTTCCTTGCAAAAGATTGAAATAGATTTTTCAATTTATTCTGATTAAAATATATTTTTTGTTTATCCATATCTATGTAAATACATTAAACATCATAAGACTTTGAAATACTATTGTTTTAGTAATCAATTTCTTATCCTTATCATTTCTACAATTGAGATTATTCACTTCATAATATGAAAGTTCTAAAAATGTCAAAAAGTATTCATTTTAGGAATAAAAGACTTAATTTAAATTTAATATAATTATTTTTATATCTATACAAACAAATTGTGAGAACATTCAGGTGGCCCCATAAGTAATAACATATCAGTATTTTGATATGATACCTCATATATAAGGTATGATTAGAAAGCTGAAATCAGCTTTTTCAATTTTTCATCAGTGAAAATGTTTGATACCTCATACCTATTAAAATACCCTAATTTCAGTCCCATCCCTCTTGTATTCGTTGAGATAAGGAGATTTGAAATTATGCAATTTCGACGCCGTTACCCTCTCCATTTGCCACAAAAATGTAAGGGATATATAACACTGTTGTATAAATTAATATTATTTTATTTTTTTTTTAAAAATAATACTTCAATCATGCTAAAATTGAATTTTTTTGATGCAAAAAATAACCTTAAACGGTAATTCCTGGAAATAGAGGGTATATCTCATTTGTAGGGTTGCTTAAAGGCCAGGAAACGTCTCAATTTTTAACGTGCATTTTTTCGTAAATTTTCACTTTTTTTACCCTTGCTACTTCAACTAACTTTTTCGCAACATTTGAATGTTAGTTTTGTATTGTACTGTGAGGGGATAAAAAGTATACTTCGGACAGAGCATTCTAGGCTATTACATGTTAGTTTTTGGAGAAAAAAAGGTCATCATATTTAGGAATGTAACAAAAGTCGGAGTTAGAGCCAATAATTTTAACAGTCATATATACACGCTAAATAATTTCATATCGTAGGTGTTTTAATCAAATTTATTTTTTGATTTTTCGATTCGACCTGAAGGAAATACATGCAACTATTGTAAAGCAGAGCAACGACTACGCTAGTTATAGAGATAATGTCATTTTAACGAATACGAAAACCTAACGTCCAATTTTGAAAATTTATAATAAATTTTTCCGTTTATTATTTTCCTGCTTATTTTACATATGCAGTTATCAAGCTTACAATGAAAGCTGATAATATGCATAAATATTTTGCACAAATTAAAAGTCAATAACCGTGATTACGAAAGTATACTAAATAATGATTTATATGAAAACACACCTAATGTGTTTCCAGTTTTGAATCGTTTCTTTCAATTTTACAGATATTTGGATGATATATCCAAATTATTTTTTTCAATAAACCATTTATTTTTATCAATTTCTCTTTTTTCATATATAAAATCGTTTTCATGTCATAAGCACCTACTGTCTTGTTCTAGTTCTTCACTGACAATTCCAAAAAAAATTCGAAAAAAAGTAACTCAGAATCAAAAATTAAGTTTTTAGAGTCAAAAAATAGATTTCAAAAAAAACTTGGAAGAACAAAAATCGTTAAAATAGTTTATTAGTGAGTTTTTGACCTTTTTAAAGCCAATTGACACAGATATTTTCGAAATTAGATATCAAATATCAAAAAACATACAAATTTACTTAATAATATATTGTGCTAACTATAGAAGATTTCATAATATATTGCATTTTAGTATTTTGTATAATTAGTAAATAAAGCTTTATTTTAATCGAAAATAATACATTAGTACATAGATAAACTACTACATCATCGTAATTATACGAACACTTATGTAGAGAGCTGCAAACAACGCTGAAGTGCAGATTTAATAATTTATATTTTCTTTTGCGCAAAAGCTAGTAGAAGTTTTATATTTATATTTTGAAGTGTATTAAGTTAGCAATACTGATTCTGCAAATTTTGGAATTTTTTATTTCTTATAGCAATAATTTCCCCATATTTTAGTGTCTGTTTCTGTAATCAAGATATTTGTATCTGCATTCGATGATGTGTAAATATGCAAAATTACCAGGGAATCTGTCGTTTCAATTTTGAAAAATCAAATTTCGTTTTTTAATGCTGTATTTTGACATCGGTAATCTTAGTGCCAGCATGATCTACTAACACCATAGCAATATAATTTAAATTAACGAAGTAAGTTTTAAATTGAATAATGCGGGAGAATAATTAAGAATAGAGGCAACATTGTTACGTATAATAGCTACCTAATGAAGAGAAGAATACAACTCTTCAGGTAGTTACTTACATTTCAGGCATAGAGAGCAGGAGAAAAGCGATTAGTACCCATAGGAAAAAAAGAAAAGGGTGAAAAATAAACTATACAATTTTTGAACGGTCTAACTTCTTCTTGGTATTTTGCAAGAACGGACGTTAGTTTTTCTTTTATTTTTAAAGGATATATTCTACATATGTTCTGCTTTATAATATCTTTTTTTCCAGCCATTTTTAAAAAATTGAGACGTTTCCCGGCCTTTGGTTGCTTTATAAATTCATTAATGAATTTTGAAGTTAAATATTTTTGGGCCAAAATTTGGCAACTTCTGTAATGAAAAATATCAAAAAAAAAAAAAAAAAACGATGAGTCATGGAATAAGTGTTGATACAGATTACATCGCTAATAACATTCACACATATATCGATGATGGCATCTTTTTTGATATTTTTGAAGAAGATATCATCTCTGAAACACTAGCGAAAACTTCTATTAATTCTCAGAACTTCATTACCCTTCTTACTCAAGGAAAATTGAAATACAACTCATACAAACTATTTAATTGTGTTCGAAAGTGCAATGTTTGCATTGGTTCATTTGACGAAGCAATTCAAATTCTTGAGAGCTACCAAAGATGTTTCAAACTTGAATCTGCTCACGGATTAATAGAGTACTTGAATAAATTCAGATCAGAGCATGTTTCATATTCAAATGAAGTCACAAAATTACAAACCAAAATTGAAAAACTCGAAACAAATTTACAAAAGATCGAAGATGAAAATCATCAATACAAAAATGAAATATCATCTAAAAATAAAGAAAACATTCAATTAAATCGATCTATTAATAAATTTACAGAAATTACTAAATTATTAAACACTGATGACTTTGAATCAGTATACAAATTCCTCAAAGGACTCTCAACTCAAGGTGATACAATTTCTATGTCTATTTCATGTGCAGTTGGATTAAGTGAAAAGAAAGATTCCAATAAAAGTACATCACTTCTTTATGCATGTAGGAAAGGAGATCTTCAATTACCCAGATTTTCCTTACTTTTACCACTCCCCATGTAATTTCTGGGGAAAACGATAATTCATTTTTTATGGATGAATAGATCGTTTTCCTAGAAAGGACCTCATATCTCTGGCTAAAAAGAGTGTCAGATCCTAAATAGATTATTGATCTAGTGTACAAATCCAATAAAAAGCCTATTTTTTTGGCTTTTTTGGTGCTCATTTTTTCGAAGATCTACATGAATATGGGGAAACCATCGGATTTTTTTGGTTAACCCACATCTTCATGTAGTCTGGACTATCTTTCCTCGAAGGACCTCTTTACGGGTGTAAAAACTCATAAAGTTCTCAAAAGATTCATTCTCGATCTCCATGCTGAAAGAATTTACAATAAAAAAGAGATCTACGCATCAAACTACAGCCATAAATGAACTGAACCCCTAAAGCTCAGCTCTTAGTTTATCAAAAACGTCGAAATCCTTCTCATTGCAATCAAATTTTCTCAATAACTCATAAGAAAAATCGAATTTTGATTAAGCCGATGTTATAGGTATCACAAATACTACAAACTTGAGCAATATCGAAATTGCCAGCAAAAGTTTGAAATTGCATTGCTCATATTTGTTTTGTAAACTAAAAATCTGCTTATATTATTCATTAATTTTTTATATATTATTCATATACTTTAATAAAAACAATACTATTTCACCTTAAAAATGAATTTCATAAGTCAATATTATTTTTTTGAAAATGTATCAATTTTCGATTAAAACAACATGAGAATAAAATTTACGCAAAATTATTTTAAAAAATGGTTTTAAAAATTTACAATTGATTAAGAATAAGATTGCAAGAAGTTTTGAAGTTTAATTTTAAGAAAAAAAATTCGGATATTATTTATGGATCTAAGTAATCTGATATTTGAGTATCGGCACTATGCATAAAACATATATTTATAGTTTTTTTGGATTTTTATGATTTTAAATATATTCAAATTTGGCAATCCAATAGATTTTTAAAAAATAGGTAAATAAAAATAGATTACATATGCAGCAGATTTAGAACATGAAACAAATCTTATAGTGACCCAAAAAAAATTCATGATCCAAAAAAGAAAAAAATTAGCTAAATGAAAATCAAACCTTGGCATAATGAATCATTATGTCGGATGTTTCCACTACACCGGCAGTTCGAAAAATACCCTTGGTGGTTCTATTTAATAGCTACTCCAAACGATAGGCGGTGTCCCCAGCTTTAGAGAGGTGGTAAAAGTAAGGCAAATCTGGGTAGTAAAACATCTCATTGAAGGAGGCTGTGATAAAGAAGCTGTTAATTGTATTGGCAATAATTGCTTATTTAGAGCATCTGGATTTGGTCATCTTGAAGTTGTTAAATATCTCATTTCAATTGGAGTCAATCCAAACGACAAAAATAATAATGGATTTTCATCAATAATTATTGCATCACAAGAAGGTCATCTTGAAGTTGTTAAATATCTTATTTCAATTGGAGTCAATCCAAATGATAAAACCAATAAAGGATTTTCACCAATACTTATTGCATCACAAAAAGGTCATCTTGAAGTTGTTAAGTATCTTATTTCAATCGGAGTCAATCCAAATGATAAAAATAATAATGGAACTTCACCAATACTTATTGCATCACAAAACGGTCATCTTGAAGTTGTTAAGTATCTTATTTCAATCGGAGTAGATCCAAACGACAAAAATAATTATGATAGTTCTTCACTTCATTTAGCTGCAATTAATGGACATTTTGAAGTTATTGAATATTTAATATCCATTCATGTAAATGTTAATGATAAAAACAAAGTGGGAAAAACTGCACTTGATATTGCAAGGGAAAAGGAAAATGAAAATCAAAATTATAAAAAGATTATTAATCTTCTTTTGCAATCAGGTGCACAATAAATCATATTTTTGACTACTTCCTCATTGAAAATAATAAATCCTAAAAAATAACTTATCTGTATTATCACAATATTCCTTATCAAAATAAATTAGTCTTGAAATCAAAATCAAAAATTCAAGACTAAAATATTATCATTAGTGATTTTTAAAGGTGCTCTTACGCTTTGTTGATACAATCTTAAATTTTCTTCTTTAAAGTTAAATTAGATCTCATACAATCTTCCATGAGAGTTCCACCAGCCAGAAGTGCAATACCTGTGCTACATAACTATTAGGATATAGTAGCCAGACTGTGTATGTATTGCGCTTCAATAATTACATTGAATGGGAGGAAAATTATGGATCAGTTCACGCCTGCAATAATTCAAATTTTGATTTGTCACTTTTTATATGAGATACAAGAGAAGAGTTTTATTCATTTCATTTATAGTGGTTTTTTATTCTTTTAGCATTTTACGACCATATGATCCAATTATCACGTTAACGATAAAGGCAAAACAACTTTTCATTGAATGTCTTGACAAATTTAAAAATGTTAATCCTGATTCTAATAAAATACTCAAAATTCAAGGTGTAAAAGAAGGATTATTCCCAGAATATTTAGATCAATTAATTCCTCTGCATTTAACTTACGAGACTCCTCCAATTGGTAATTTTTATGGTTTTTTGAAAAACTCTCAATATTTACGTTATAAAAAGTACTATGCAAATATGAGCTTAGTACCAATATTCAAAACAAAACGGACAATAGATATTGTAACCGATTTCAAAGGAAAAATAGCAATATACAAAGATGCTTATGCAAATCAATTCGGTGAATTTGTAATAAATAATTATGTAATCAGACCTCCATATGATTCAGGGCTAAGTTGTGTACGTGAATATCATGAAGGCCCAGTAGTATTTGAATGCGATAAAGCATGCGTTTTTGGCCATGTATGGATTCATAAATTTGGGCATTTCATTGATGATTGTCTTGCTCCTTTGACATTGATTCCTGAAGATTTTTTAGAAGACTGTGTAGTAATTTTATCAGAACAAACAAGAAAATTTGGAGAAGATGTTCTTAAAGTTGTTGGTGTAAGGAAATACATTTATATTTCAAACAACACATGGGTACACGCTAACAAACTTGCCGTAGCTGTTGAAGGAAGATCATATCTTATGCATTTTGGTGTTCCATTACAAAAATTAGTTGATATGCTAAGAATTTACTTTAAAGTATTAAATATTAAACCAACAAAATATGCAGTTATGAATAGAGATTTAAATTCTCCTAGACATATTACTAATATCAATGCACTTATGGCGGCCATCAAAAACAATATAAAAGATGTAGAATTCGAAGAAATTGAAGATAAATTAGGAACAATCGAATCATATGCAAAATTTTATCCTTCAATTAAATGCGTTTTATTACCAACAGGAAGCAATGCAGTTAAAACAATTTTTATGAATCCTAATTCTGTTGTAATTATTGCAAGTAATGAAATGTTTGATTTCTCAGTCGTATGTTCAATATTATCAGTTCATGTTAAAGTGGTTTATTTCTTTCATTACCAATATCATTTTAATGACATTACAATTGATGTTGATCTTGCATTACAAGCTATTGAAGTAGGAGTCTATGCATCTATTAATGGAAACTTTCCAGAACCGAAAGAATTCATCTCATTTATTGATTATATTCCCAATTTCAAACCAATACATATTGAAGGATAAATTGAAATATAATCAACAAGCAATCAATGTTATGAATCATCGCAAAGTATGTTGAAGAATTTATTTGATAATTTTTCTCTTGAACAAAACTTTTATGGGCAAAACATTTTGTGATTGTATAATGAACGAATTATTGATCGATTACTTGTTAATATGCAGTAATTAAATATAAGTGAATAAGAAATCCTGAAAAAATGAAATTTAAATCCCAAATCCACAACTGTTCATGAAGGTGATACTCCTCTACATTATGCACAATAAAATTTATTGAAAAAAGTATTGCAAACTTACTCATTTCTCATGGAATAGACACCAATTCAAATGATTACTATTGAAATATTTTTGAGTATTTACTTTCTATAATAACTTAAGGAATCAAACTACAATTAAATAATTTAAGAGGCCGAATCAAAAATAAAATATAATCTTCACAATTTTAATATCAATCTTCTAATTCTGAAGATTATTAACTGTTCCGAGCCATAATTAATTACTGGTAATTGATTTTTTAGGGCCTACATGCCTTGTGGAATCATTTTGTACCTTAGAATATGCAGGCATAATTAATTCAAAAGTCATTCATCACAAGAAACAAAAATGAAAATATTAATTATATATAGTTGTAATTTTATAGGGTTGTTAGATTCCCGACGATAGGTGTCTTGGAAGATTTGCCTGGTGTCATCATAGTGTCTTTAAATCAAAAATTTTATTTTGGAGTTAGTTTTATTGATTTTTCAATAAAAAACATTTCTAAAACAAGAAAATAAAACGATAAAATATTTATATTTTATATAAGGATCTTATATATTTAAAATAAATATCATTTTATTTTTTTCATTGGTGTCTGTCAAACCATAATACACTATTCAAAAATTCAATGTGTCTTGCGGTTTCAAAAGACACCTTCAAATTGAACGATAGCACAGACACTATTGAATTTTACCCATTTTATTTAGTTTTTACCCTTTTTATTTTTAAGAATTAATGACTGAAACAACCGTTTTGTTATGACCTCAATCACTTTTATTTATTATTTTAAATATTATTTAATTTTATTATTTGAATAGGCCAACTTATATTTGAGAAGCTCAATTTGAGACCACTTAATACATTGAAATATCATAAATATTGAAATATTAAAAAGTGTATTTCAAAATATTGAAATTATAAAAATTTATAATACTGAAATTGAGACAAATTAATAAATTCAATGTGTTTTTTTTGAAATAACTCTCAAATATTATTTGTTTGTTTATTTAATGATGAATAAATATGATTGCTTTAGTCAATCATAAAAACTAATTTAAGTTTAAAATAATGGAAGGATAATTTGATCGTTTTTTAAAATACAATTATTTTTGATGATTTGCAAGAATCTTATTGATATTTTTGATATTTTTAACA